CACGCAGCCTCCTGATGTTTGCTGTGAATGATTGACAGGTGTCAGTCCCCCGTACTGCAGTCTGTTTGGACTCATGAGAACGCGAGACCGAGTGTGGCTTCCACCCAATCACATCCTCAAGATCGAGGCCTCAGCCAATGAGACGCTGCTGTTCAGGATCAGGTGAGCGCCGTGAGGATCAGCTGCAGCACTGATGCATGCTGGGATTGGCAGCGGGATCTAATCCGGTCCGTCTGCAGGTTTTATTTTCCAGGCTGGTACGGCAGTAGCTCGAGCTCAGCCCGCAGGTATGGCGTCTCCAAGAGTTCAGAGGCACCTGTGCTTGATGACATCACTGCGGCGTACCTGTTTGCTCAGGTGATCCACGCTACTGATGTTCACAGCCGACAAACTGTCTGATAGCCGATTTAGTTTTTTCCACACTGATAGTCATTAGACAACACAACAATGACTGCTGTATTGTGAATATTGTTAGATTGTTGCTAAGAACTTCATTTGAACAACTTTGTGCTCAGGTGATCCACGCTACTGATGTTCACAGCCGACAAACTGTCTGATAGCCGATTTAGTTTTTTCCACACTGATAGTCATTAGACAACACAACAATGACTGCTGTATTGTGAATATTGTTAGATTGTTGCTAAGAACTTCATTTGAACAACTTTAAAGATGATTTTCTCAATATTTAGATTTTTTTGCACCCTCAGATTCCAGATTTTCAAATACTGTCCTATCCTAACAAACCATACATCAATGGAACGATTATTTATTCAGATTTCAGATGATGCATAAATCTCAATTGCACAAAATTGACCCTTATGACTGGTTTTGTGCTCCAGGGTCACATATAGAGATCACAGAACTGCGGTCTGTTAAACATCTCCACTAGTTTAGGGTCAGGGTTCGACTATGAATCGTGTTTTTCTCAGTCCTGATTACATGACAGCTGCTGCTGGAGTAATATTTTACTGTGATTTCATTGTCACACACATTGTTTATTGAGCAAACCCGTCTCTCAGTGGAGGTCAGATTTTCTGAGCGGCGCGGTCAGCGTTCCCATCAGCCTGGAGTTTCAGGAAGAGTGCTTGGGATTGGCTGTTCTTGATGTGATGCGTTTGGCCAAAGAAAAAGCCAAGTCACCTGTTGACATCTACAACCACAACAGGTGTGTTCACCCGTGACCTTTGACCTGCCGCTGCCCGTAGAGGCTGAACTGAACTCTGGTCATCTCCTCTGTGTTCATTTGCAGTTATAAGTCGTTCCTCCCGAAGAACATGCGAGCACACATCCAGAACCAGCACTTTGTGACCCGGAAGAGGATCCGCTTCTGCTTCAGGAAGTTCATCCAGCAGTTCGGAGCGTGTAAAGCCACGCCGCGAGACCTGAAGCTGAAGTACGTGGTCAGTCTGGAGACGCTGCAGGCGGCCTTCTACAGCGAGCAGTTCCTCGTCAGCGAAGCGTCCGCCGGAGACGTCTGCATCCTCGTCAGCGGGAGCCGCGGCATGCGATGGTCCAAAGTAAAAGAGGCCAGAGACCGAGAGGTGCGTTTGAGTTCGGCTTCCTGGTGTTTGATCTTTTGGCAGACACACCTGCACCAGATGTAAAAGTTCAAGCTCAGTTCAAGCTCACTGACTCACAAGTGCACACTTGTGAATCTTCTAATTACTACCAGCAGACTGAGATACTAACGAGAGCGACTCTGACTGTCTTTCTTTCTCCCTGTTCAGGATCCGCAGGTTTACTGTGATTTCTCTGACGTCATCGACATCAGTGTAAAGCAGGGGTCTAAAGACGGATCTGTGGAGAACCGAATCGTCTCCATAAACAGACGGGACGGTCAGACGCTGGTGAGGTTCGGTCGCACTACAGCGTTACAGTCCGTGCTCGGCTCAGATCCGTGTCTGCAGCGTCTCTCTCTGTGTCCCGCAGGAGCTGGAGTTTCATTCTCTGAGCGAGGCGCTGTCCTTCGTGTCTCTGATCGACGGCTACTACAGACTCACCACAGACGCTCATCACTACCTGTGTAAGGAGGTGGCTCCCCCTAGACTGCTGGAGGCCATTCAGAACAGCTGCCACGGGCCAGTGTCGTGAGTCACACACACACACACACACACTCACTCACACACACACACACACACACTCACTCAC